TAGTAAGGCCAGGAGCCCCTAGTAGCTTCTTGTTCCTAGTAGTAAGGGCAGGGGCCCCTAGTACCGTCTTGTTCCTAGTAGTAAGGCCAGGAGCCCCTAGTAGCGTCCTTGCTCCTAGTAGCGATGCCCTTTGCTCCTAGTAGCGTCCTCTACCCCCGCAGGATATGAGGAAAGACAATACAGTACCTGAGACCGATTGCGATCACTCATTTCTTTGCAGGCATTCACTCAATATCACTCAATGCTCGACATGGGCTGCCACACCCACTTGCTCACGAGCTCTACAGCTCCCTGGGGAAGAGTTACACGGCGTGCCTCGCAAGGTAAGCTGGTGGCAATGAAGAATTGCATCACTTCATTGGCCATCGCTACTAGGGTGGACGCCATCGCTACTAGGGTGGAGGCCATCGTTACTAGGTGGAGGCCATCGATACTAAGGTGGAAACCATCGCTGAGAACGCCCCAGCTGGGCAAGTTTTGAAGTCATCTTCAACTCGATCATCTTCGATCATTGAATCAATCATCTTCAAATTTCTTTCAAAGAAATGCTTTAGAATGCTTTAGGTAGCTCGAAAACACGAGATTTAGCACCATGCAGCGGCCCTTTTTTCCACTTTGTTGGGACTATCTCTATCCACCTCTCTTAGGCCTTCTCAGGAACACCAAATTGGCAGGCATGCATTCCAACGGTCGGCTGGCGACCCCGGCGCGATCGACCGCACCTTGCACCCGCACAAAGTCTGTGTCAGTGGAGCCCAGCGAGATTCCCCATTTCTCATCTCGCGAGTGGCATTCCAACACCACATCCACCAACGGAAAATGCGCCTCATCTTGGTAGAAGTTCGGTGGGGTCTGCATCTGCTGCGGAATTGGGGACGCACACCTCTGTTGAGGGTGTTGCAAAAAACTAAATCCCTGGCCACACTGTTGCATGCCGCCAACATCAGGCACAGGTGAGTGATGTCGCTGCAAATGCTGAAACTGCATGCCTTCACTGTTGATTTGGGTGAGGCTGCTGCGGCATGACAGTGACGTCCTGGCCCGAATGTTGTATGCTGCCAGCTGTCATCTGCTGTGGCTGTTGCATTGGGGGTTGTGGCACTGGATGCATGAACATCTGTTGCTGCATTTCACTCCTTGGACTCCTTGGTGGGATCTGCTGCTGCATTTGTTGCAGAGCTGTGGATGGAGGTGGCTGGAAACCCGGCATTGCTGTCTGACCCATTGGTTGTGGGAACCCCCAGAAGCCTGCATGCTACCAGAGTGCATCTGCTGCGTTTGCATCTGCTGTGGCTGCGGATGCTGTGACTGCAGCGGCTGCGACGGTGGCATGGGTGGCACCGTCATCTGTTGATGGAAACTCTGGCTAATGCTTGGATCGGTGGTGCAAAACTGGACGATTGACCAAAGTTTTGCCCAGCACCCACATTCATGGGAGGCATGTGGTGGTGCTGCGGCTGCTGATGTGGCTGGTGCGGCATTGGTAACCCACATCCTTGGCCAGGAAACGGCATGCTGTAGTTACTGTAGTTCATCTGCGGCTGTTGCAGCTGGGAGCCTGGGGACCGCATGCCTGGCCCATGCCGTTCATTTGTCTGGGATTCATTGGTCCCGCGGCATAGCTCGGAATAGCTCCCTGTGTTGGAGTGTTGTCATCGTCCGGTGAACGCCATGGATCATTGTTAGGGTCATAGTTCTCCAGTGGTCGGTAAGCCATGGCGGATTGCTTGCCTTGCAAGTTACCTGTTTTTTTCAAGAACCAAGATCAGGCTGAGACCATTGTTCTTACTTATCCTTATGGGTTTCGGAGGCCATCGCTGCTAGGGTGGAGGCCAGCGCTTCTAGGGTGGAGGCCATCGCTACTATATTTCTTCCTTGTTCCCTTTGCCCTCCTTTGCCCCATTCAGAACTTGACTTCGACATGCTGCGACGATCCGTAGTCCACTCAAGATTCTAAGTCAAACCAGCAAACCTGGACTTAATTCCTTTGTGCTTACGGTCTCTGCAAGAGATGAACTCCTCTCTCCTTGCTATTGCATATCTGGCCTCTCTCCTCTGCTCGCATGTGACAAGTTTAAGCAACAAATCCCTATGAGAGTCTTGCCAAAACTGCACTTTCCATTCAATCCAGGTCAAGTGGTCGAGCCGAGTCGAGCCCACCTGGCTCTCAAGCTCCATGGCAAGATCCTCCAAATCCAGCCACAAATGACATCAAATGACATACACATTGACATACCCGACGGTCGAATATGTGTCAAACGCAGCTCCTTAACCACCCCTTGACTTGTTAGTAGAGCCAGGTATGGGTGAAAAGAAACCGTTCGAAGCAAAAGAACAGGGGCCGGCAGCATGAGCATAAGGGCACATCGGGACAGAAAATTCCAGTAACACATAGTAACACTCCATCATTAAGAGGTGTAGAAAGGAATGACTCATGATGACTTAGTGGAGTAAGACATAGTAACAGTAAGACTACGTGGCCAGCTGAGTTAGCAAGGTTGGAAGAAACGTGCAAATCTTATCGGATTTTGTCTAGAATTCAATTTCTGTCAGCTTGACAAATGTCTGTGTAGCAAACTACCAAGACATGTTGCGTGAAACGCTGCTGGGGAAAGACTGGAAAGACTTGCTCCTAGTATATAGCGTCCTTGCTCCTAGTAGCGATGCCAGGAGCCCCTAGTAGCGTCCTTGCTCCTAGCAGCGTCCTTGCTCCTAGTATAGCGATGCCAGGAGCCGCTAGTAGCGTCCTTGCTCCTAGTAGCGATGCCAGGAGCCCCTAGTAG